TTCATCTGTTACTAAACTTACTTTGTAAAAGCTATCTTTGAAATTTTTTAGTGCAATTACTAATAATTTTCTTAATTTTAGAATAACTTTATTTTAATATATCATTATAAAAATTAAAAAAAAAATTTATATTCGATTCGATTCGATCTGATTTGATTTGACAAATATTTAATTCAATTGATTTGATTTGATCAAATTCAAATTAATTCAAATTAATTAGATCTTATATTTGAGTTCAATTTAATTTGAAAAAATTCAAATTGCTTAAATATTTGATTTGATTTGATTTTGAGAAACTCTAAATAGTAGGATTATTCTTTAATAACAAAAAAGATATAGATCTATTGATATATAATAAATGTTTTCATATTTATTTTCATATTTATTATTTAATAAATTCCTAAAATATCTGATATTCCTAAATAATAAACTTCATATTATTCTCTTTTCCCTTTATATTTTATTGTAATAATTCTGATAATAATTAATAAATGTATCTGACTGTATGAAATACTAATATTATAGGCAATACCTTATCTACATTATTAAATTAAAACTTCATTATTATAAGAAAAATATATTAAACATGAATATAATTAATCCTTCTGCTTACCTTTAAATCCCATTTATAATTTATAAATACTAAAAAACTGCTATTAACAGTATTAACAAATCTATTTATTAGCAAAATTTATAAAAAAAAAGATTTTAATAAATTAATATTAAATGAAAAATAAAAATTATATGAATATCTTAAATACAAAATCTTTTATATAAAAGATATGTATTTAGAGGGATAGAGATAGGTATTATTCTATAAGATTTACTAGAATAATATGATTAGAATTCTTAGGTATATTTCTAGTAGTATTACTTTTACTAGAAAATAAAAATGTAAATAAGTATTTGCTTAATTTGATCAAGCAGATTTATCCAAAAAAAATATTTCTTATAAATGTTTTGATGATTATTAATCAAGAACTTTAATGGAAATAGTAATATAAATAATAATTAATTTAATTATAAAACAATATAAAGTAATTTTATCTAGTACATACAAAATTCCCAACCCTGAATATAAACAAAAATAATCAATGATCTTTAGTTATTAAAATATAGTCAGTGTTTTCTTTCTTCAATAATATAATAAAATGATTAAAAATAAAAAATATACTAATTATTTTTTTTATTAATTAAAAACGTAAAATTTAAAATTTGTGACAAACAATTAATTATATAAATCATGATCATAATAACCTTGGATTCTTTATTCCTAAATACAGTTAAAGTTATACATCACGTGAAATTACTAGGATAAAAGCCTAAATGTCCTAAAATTTTTAAATCATTGTCTCATCAGATCGAAAATTCTTGCGAAATTTAATGTTTCTGTACATTATTTAAATCATGGAGACGTTAAAAGAATAGCATCCTTGACGCATCAAAAATGATAATTTATTTCAAACGATACTAATATTGGTCAATTCTTTGGTTCAAGTTGATCATTATATAAATGTAATGTGTCAAGAAGATCCTTATTAGCTATTATACATATACATACAATACAGTAAGGCTTTTCTGTCAATAGACTAATTTCAAAAAAAAAAAAAAAAAAAAAAAAAAAAAATATTTAATTAAAACATACTTAATATTAAAACAGGGGGAAGCAATAATTTACACTTTTATTTAACTAATTTACGGTACTTTAAAAATTACAGAGGAAATAAAATCTCTATTACTTATTTTAGTCATCTTTCCTATATAATCAATTTTCTTCTCAAATGTTCATGGGTTATTTGGGTGAAAGGAAATAGTAATAATAATAATAATTTATTTAAACAAAAGAAGGCCGAACTAACCTAATACACGATTTAATTCTTCTACAGGGGTGTTAAGTATAGAAGAGGCTACATCTGAGAAAAATTCTTTATCTTGTAATAATTCATTTTCTGAAAATAATTCTCGGTTGTATGAAGTAATATTATTAATTGGAGAATATGAAGATAAATTAAGTGAATGTGAAAGATGTATATCGGTCGGTGGTTTCGGTGATTTTGGTGAAGGAGGAGGAGTAGGCGTTGCCGTTTTTAAAGTTTCATTCTGAGAAACAGATTTCGTTGTATGCGAGGAAGATGACGAAGATGATAACGACTTAGGTGTAAGAGGTTTTAAAGATTCGATACTTGCATTTCTTGATTTAGATGTATCTATTAGAATTGACGCATCACTTGGAGAAGTGCTTAATGGAGAAGTACTTATTGGAACAAAATTATCAATTAAAGTTTTTGAAGTTGATGAATCAGCCGTTATTGTGATGGGAATAGGTTCGGTAGAATTATTTGATGAACTTTGTGCATCATTTTTAGAATTATTTGAGGCGTTATTTGAGGTGATGTTGTTGGATGTGGCATTATTGTTGTTGGTGCTGCCAGAAGTGTGGAGGATACTTGCAGTCCTACGACGAATACCAACAGATTGAACAGCAGTTTGAGACCACCTTCGAAAAGCTGACGTAGAAGATTGTGCAGTAATATTCGTAGAATTGTTCGTCGTTGAAGGAAGTAAAGACTCAACAGAATCTTTATTATCTAGATTCTCATCATTAGATTCCTTTACGGTCTCCTTTGTGGTGGTAGATGTAGAAGAATCATCTTCAGTACGTTGTTTAATAAAACTTTTTGAAACTGAAGCTATAGAACGAAATCTAGAAGAATTTTTTAATAAATTTGGTTCAGATAAAGATTCATGTAGTGCAGCAGACAGCCTTTTATTTATTCTTGTTGCTCTTGATGACCAAGTATTATTGTTTTCTGTGGTGGGTTCGGCCTTCGTAACCGTAACAGTAGCGGAAGTGGTAGTGGTAGTGGTAGTAGAAGGTTTTACCATATTAACAGTGGCTTCCACTTTATTAGGTTCTACTTTAGTAGAATCAGATTTTGTTGATTCCAATTTTCCAGGAGCCGAATGAAGGCTTGGAGGTAAATCTTCCTTTGTTAATGTTGACAAAATCTCTGCTGTAACACTTTCTTCTTCATCATCTTCGGTTTTAGTTAACACTTTTTCAATATCTATAGGCTGTGATGGTAAATCCGTATGTTGCTGTTGTTGCTGTTGTTGCTGTGGTTGTTGTTGTTGCTGTTGTTGTGGCATGCCCGCTTGTTGTTGAAGCTGTTCGACATCACCTTCATAAATTCCACCCATACCAAAACTATTGAAGAAAGGGCTATCATCCATATTAGGCAATACCAAAGAGTCCATAATCATTTCATGAATTTTTGATTCGATAGTATTAATAATGAGAGAAAATTTTAATTGAGTTTCAGATACGATAGGTTCAATTAAGAGATCTAATTTTGGCATCTCATAAAATCCCATCCAAAGTCTATTAGAAGGGGGGGATTTTATACGCAATAACATCTTCCCTTGTAACCCTCGAAGCACAACAGCCAAAACTAAAGGTACTTTAATTGTTTTTAACCTCGTAACTATAATCGCTTCTGTTTCAATTTCAACGCGAAAACCTCCAGTATAATTTAAATTTATATCTACATTTAATTCACCATTGTGAGATAAATCAACTAACCTCGGGTTCGTTATATATGGTATACCATCTCCTACATCAACCGACCTTATCTGTATGTCAGATAAGAATCCAGGTTTTTTCACTTTTTTTATTTTTCTTATCAACTTACGAATGAAGTAATCTTTGATCGCTTGAGTTTTATATACCGATAAGAATATCCTACCAAATATCGCATTTAACCATTGAGTTTGCTTATGATCTTCGTTTGAATAAAGTGTTTTCAATAAATGATTCATCGCGAAAGAATCAAATAGTGATTTATCTCTATTAATTTGTTGACCATTAGAATTATTATTAACATTTTGTTGTGAAATATTATTAATTACGGCAGATGCGTTCGATTCTAACTTTGAAGATCTCTGTAACGCGAAATACCAATCTTCTTTTTCAACTCCAACATCACAAAATAAATAATAATCGGTATAATTATTTTCTAAATTTATGGCCATCTCAGCACAAACGGATGGTTTTTTTGTTAACCTTATAGAATTGACTTTAGTATATATTTCATTATCTGGTAATTGTTCCGGAAATATTGTTACATCATGATTTGAAACTATTATAATTCCTTTACAATCTAATTGTCTTTCACTATCATACACAAATAATGTATTATATTTTAATACCGCAAAGAATGCATCTTTTGTTCGTTTAATTTGATTTTTATTACTATTACTTGAATCTATTAATGAAGCTATTCCTTTCATCACATTACCAAGCGTGTTTACCCCGCTACTAGAATTATTTAGATCATATTCTCTTGTTACTCTTAACCATCCAAATTTATGATAAGGTGAATCATCGTGAGAGTCACTATTGGTGTTGATGGAAGTAAGGTTGTGAAGATCTTTTGGAGATATATCATCAAATTTAATCGTCTCGTTCTTTTGTAATTTCCAAGTCCATGGTGGAAAGATTATTACAAGTATAATTACTCCTAATAATGGGAAGAACGTAAGTCCTCCAATTACGTATATTAATGCAAGACTCCCTAGTGACATTGTGATGGTAACTAGGAAAAAAATCAATATTGAACGAAAACGCTATGAAAAACGAACGACTGCAATCTGTGATGCGGTAGTATACTTTTTTTCTTTTTTTTTTAAAAAAAAAAAGAAAAAAAAAAAAAAGAGGGAGAGAATAAAAAAAGAGAACTGAATAAAAGATCAATTTCTTTCGTTCGTATACTAATTAAATAATTAGATACATAAAGTTAAGTAAAAACAACCAATTTCCGGAAAAAGGGTTAATTAAATAATTTGGATCAAAAAAAGAAAAAAGGAGAAAAAAAAATGTATCTTAGGAGTAACGGAAAATTTCTGTTTGTTGATGATCCCTGAAAAAAAAACCTGTAATCTTGGTACTACAGAAATAAGTTCATTCCTTTACATAGCCCCATTCACTCCGCAATTTATTTTTAGCATGTGATATCTATAAAATTATGGTGTGATTTACCAGTGCAAGCAAACAAAGCTGAATTTTACAGGTTTTAGAGAATCTTACGGTTTACCAAACTTTTTTAGATCTGAAACTTGCGAAACATGCGTTCTTCGATTACTTTATGTTTGATACTAGTATTATTAAGGTATTTTACCTTTTGAAATGGATTTCCTTTCTTTTTTATATCAAATATTAATTTCAAATTTAATATTAGTTTATTTGCTATACCATCGATCTGTATAGAGACTTACAAGATCGAAGGAAGATTAGTCCCTAGTTTCGCATTAAAAGGCAACTATGATGTGCACTTTATTTTTTTTCCTCTTTTTTTACAAAATAAAAATTTTCTAAAAACCTTTTAAATTAATCGAAAATAGATTTATCACAACTTGAACCATCAACAAAGATTGTATTGGATGGTGGAAAATATTCGGTTTTAATTCGTAAAAATGGAAAATTTGTAATGTACTACATAAATAAACAGCTTATTTGCGATCCAGATTCTTTCTTTTTCGTCGTGGCCAAAAGAAACGAAAATTAATGATTTGATTTCATTTTCCAGAGATAATGTGCCACCAGGATCTTATTTGTTAGAAGTTTCTTCAAGAAAATTCATATATCCAAAGGTATATATATTTTTTTTTCTCTGAGGCATTACAATTTCTTGAGAAAATATATTGAACAAATGTAAACGCCTCATTAGATAAGAGTTGATGTTGATCCAAGAGGTGTTAGACCTTTTGTGACAATAACGGGTAGTGAATGGAGTAATAATGGTCCTGCTTTACAGTATCCATTGGAATTATCCGCTAGATCTCCTTCAGACTATTTTGTAGTAAGTTTACATGAACCTAGTTTGAGTTATATAATTTAATCTTATATATTTTTTACCTTAATTCTGAATGATAGGTTAGGGAAGGATTTAGTATTACAAGTTTATTTGCAAATCCATATATAATCATGATGGGTTTTAGTGTTGTAATATTATTCATCATGCCCAAAATGATGGCAAACTTAGGTAAGCTACGCCAATCAAAGCCTATCTTTACTACTTTAACAAAAGAGGCAAAGGATATTTCTCATGTTATCCTTTCTCTCTTGTAGATCAAGATGCCTTAAAAGAACTTCAAGAAAATCAAACGCAAAATCCATTGGCTGAAATGCCTGATATTTCTTCTACCTTAGCAAATTATTTATCAGGTGGTAATAAAAATAATAATAATGCTAATACTGAAAGAAATAGAAGAAATTAAATCATGTTCTCCCTAAAATGCTAATCTCAAAGCTTTATCGTTAAATCATTTTGATCCAAGTTTAACTTTGATATAATAAATTTCCTTGTTGGGGATGGTCATGTTACCTTGTTACCCTCCTTTTAGTGATTACATTGATTATGTCACAGTTTCACGCATATATTTTATGAATGTGATAATTCTAAAAAAGGGATAATCTTTACAAAATTGGATTAGCTTTTTATTCATCAAAAACATGGCAAAACTTTAAATAGGATTTTTTACAAAAAAAGTTATTTTCTTTGTTCAAAAATTTCAATGAAAATTGCCATATCGCTGTTTATGAATAATTAAGGTTGCCAACACAAAATTCTAAACCCATATACTATCAATAAATGCAAAAAAAAAATCTCTCGCATATTTTCCAAAATTAGAAATCAATAAAACAATGAATGTCATGCGTTGATCAGCCTGCACAATTCTTATATGTCAAAATTATAATGAATTTACAAAAAATGAATTCGGTTTTATCCGTTTATATCAATCACAATCGATATCTTTTATTGTATATAATCATTTTATTCCATTCTAGGTCGTATGACTCAGTATATGATTTCCATAATTCATGACCACATGGGAATTATAGAAATTAACCATGTAACAAATAATTCGAGGTTGTGGGATGAAAAATTTATTATTGAAATCAAGTTCCACGGTAAATTGGATAAGTGATATAAGTTGTTTTGTAGTAAAAAAGTGGAAAAAATATTAAATGAAATAAATTTAACATTATAAATTTAACATTATCCTCAAAAATTTTTTTGTAATTTTCTTAATTCCTACTGCAAATGTATCTATTAAAATGGTTTTTCTATTATTTTTTAGAATGATCATAATCATTCCATTTAAAATAATTCTTTTTAAAATATAATTTCATTAAAATAATAATAGATTTGTTCTTATAATTCAATTAAAAAAATATATTACTATATGATTTTAAATGATTAAAAATTTTAAGATATAGTCTTTAATAAAAATAATGGTAGTATAAAATATTACATATTAAATCTACAATTTGTTAATTGAAATTAAAATTTGTAATACTATGATCCTTTTGAATACTACTTTAAAAAGTAAAAAAAAAAAATATTTTTATATTTTTTTTATCTTGTAAATTATTGAGAAATTTATGAATAAAGATCTAAAGTAAATTGTTATGAATTTTCATAATTACTTAAATCTTTTTTAATAATTTATCACTAATTAGCTTACCAAAAAAAAAACTCTTTCTAGTTTTCAATTTTATAATAATAAATAATAACAACTATCAACTTTTAAGTATTCTTAAATATATAAGTAAATAGTTGTAAATATTATTTATTATATATAATAATAAAGAATAAAATTTAAATATTTTATTTAACAAAAAACTTTAATATATTAATATAAGCAATAGAATACTAAATAGTTAGTATTGAATTAGTATTAATTATATTAATTAAAATAATTAAATAAAAAAAATCTTACTTAAATTTTATTCTAAATAATTAAAGTATCTTTTTAATTAATTAAAAAAGAATGAAAACGTGATTAGCTACAATTACTAAAATCAAAGACAATATTAATTATTCATTAAATTCTTTTTTACCTTTTTGAATACTATTAATGTTGTAATAGTTAAAAAATTACTTATTAACATATATAGTGACTTCCATAATTATTACACCATTCCGTTTAATGTTTTAAATTGTAATTCTGCAAAATTGAAGTGATTGTCTTATTTTAAAATTTAACTAACTTTAAAGTCATAACTTTATTTTTAATAATTAGCATTTAATTTGTGGCTTTTTACAAAATTTTTAAGTTGTGTATTTTTTTTGTGAAACAATATTTATGGCATTAAATTAAAAAATGATCAACCGATGCTTGTGAGACGCGTCTTAATAAATATAAATAAACCTAATTTATAATCACTTTGTATTACTTTCCCACAGATTTCTTTGCTTTATAATAAAGGCGATACTATATTATCAAAGCAAACGTATCATTACCCTTTTTCAGGAGGGATATTCAAGTCGTTCAGTAGCTTTTCGTGAAAATATTAGTCATTTCTCTGTAATAAGAATTAAACAAAGGAAAGAAAAAACTGGTAGTCTTGATGTTATTCTAAAACTAGACTACCTTAAAATTCTTATAGAACGTCATAATAGAAATATTGCAAAACTGATAAAGTCGGGTGAATATTCTAATACTATTCAAATCCAAAAAAGTTTAATTTCTAATGAAAACATTAATATATCTTCAAATATAATTCGACGCTCATTAAAAAGGGAAAGTCTTGTAGCTAGAGTTAAAAAAAACCATTACTCTTAAAGAGATATAGAATTGCTTAAAAAAGTTTGCCAAAAAGTACTGTAATTGAACTATAGAAAATTGGAAAAGGGTGGTGTGGTCAGATGAAAGTAAATTTATAATTTTTGGTTCAGATGATAGGAATGGTGTTGGAAGAATTCAAATTTACCTTTGCAGCTACAACATATTAAACCAACTGTTAAGTTTGGTGGAAATTCTGTGATGATATGGGGTTGTATACAGTCAAACCTTGATATAGCGAACTCTTGATATAGCGAATTTTTAAATCAAATATATTAAAATTACCTTACTA